CATAGTTTTCGAGAAAATTTTTCACGGCGGTAGCAACGGTTATATCAATGGTTATTTTGGTTTTCCATCGCGGCACTTTTTTTACATTACCATAAACGCGCGGTATTATGCCATTGGTTGCTAGATGGTTTCTGACGTTTTCGAAGTGAGTGCGACCAATTCCTAACATATTGAGATACGTTTTCTGACAAAGAGGCGTATTGCGATCCCAGTAGTAAAACGTTCGCTTATTAGTACGCGTTTTCTTTTTGAGACGTCGGCTGGCAGTTATTTCTCCACCATTCATTGCTTTCAACTGGGCCATTAAAAATATGTCTTGTTCGGATCTAGAGAGGGCTTGAAATGCCTCACGTAATTCGGCAAACGTTTCTTTTGGAATCACTCTCGAGCAACCACAATTGCAACCTATCTCCAAGAAGCGCATGGCTTTTTCATATTCAGTCGAACCATTATAATTGTAACTTTCCATATACGGGTAATCCTATATATATATTTTATTAACTTTACAAGTTTGGATTTTTATACTCTTTTATTAAAGCTCATGGATGATTCTATTCACAACTCAACAATTTAGTATTAACTTGGTCATAATAAGTGTTAAAACTTGCTATCCGAAATAGCGAATTAATTTCAAATAAAAATTTTTCTACAAAGCAAAGAGGTCAATTAAATGTGCAGTGAGAGAAAAATGGTTTGAAAGTTCATTATGAGTCTACTGCCTCCAACTTTGGAGTGACTAACAGATTGATTATTGAAAAAGTAGCAAAAGAAAAGTCAAAGTTAGAAAATTTAGAAAAAGGATTTGAAGAGATAAGAAGAATGTTTAAAAAAATTATCAACGGAAAAAGTCAGTTTACTCTGTCTCCGGGAATATAACATTGAACATAAATATATCATGATCCTTTTTGATAATATTCCCATATTGTGCTTCCTGTGGTCTGCGGATGCCTGTGTGATTGACATTTACTGGGTAGCGTGCTATACCAGCCTTCCCAGACCAATCAAAATCGACCAGCAGGATGTTGACATTACCATCAGTGCTTACCAAGATATTCGTGTCTCGCAGATCACCATGAACCAGATCAGACTGGTGAAGAGCATCAATGGCTTGTTTGACTTTGGGTCGGAGCAGCTCAGCAGATGGAAAAGCAATGTCACTATCCGTAATTCGAGCTGAGTATGGTCTATATATAGTAGTATCAACATGGTCCATCACCACCATATACCAGTCACCATTAATTTTCTGACAAGCATGTAATTTTGGTGCATATCCCAGATGAGCACAAACCTCATGAGCTTCTTCTGAATATGTCTGGGTGTACTTGACAAATACTTGGTCATTTTCCCTGAGTGTTTCTCCAATGAATATCAAACTGTGTGGTAAAAACTGGGCCTTGTACTTGAAGTGGATGGGGACACCTTCAGATATGTATTGGCATGCATATGGGAATAATGGATCTGGTAGGTCCATTATATCAGCTTGACCAGTGGGTATGATATTGGTTTCATAGTAGAGTCTCAAATCTTTTATAGCTCGCCTAAAAGCACTGAAGTATCGGGCTAACCTATTCTTTTTGTCTTGATCACCCCAGCTGACAGATAATGTGAGTTGGTCTCCCAAGTGCTCCATGTGGATGTTATCATCAGTGAGTACAGAACCCGCAAAACCAAAAGTTATGCCTGTAAGAAGATAACATTTTTAGGTAAAAGCATGTCTCACCGTGAATGAGAGATTGCTTTTAGAGAGAGAACGTCAACTTATAAACTTACCGGCGTAATATAAGTGCAAGCAAGGTAGATTGGATTGTGGAAAGCATGGTCCATTTTTTTCTATAGAGTAATAGTAGTAAGCTGCAGACTGAAGAAATAGATCAGTGCGGGTAGACCCTACTTCATTTTTACACTCTGTGATAAGGTAAAAACAGTCTTTCACAATGAGATGGCCGTCTGTAACATAGCCAGTTTTGTGAACGGGTCCCGCAATGAGTTGAATATTGTAATGATTTTCTAAAGCAGAGCGGAAGTCGGCTGCTCACGATGTCTCGTTATCATGCCTCCGTGACATCAAATCTAGTAACTCATCTACAAGTCTAATGTCATCTGCTATGGGCTGATAGCTCCGAGTATCGATTAGGAATTGGCCAAATATAGGGTTTAATAAAGATACTGGCATGGGAGCAGCTTCAGCAGGTCGACCGCAGAGGATAAAATTCCTCCCCTTGGAATGTGTTTGCTTCTTGAAGAAGACCGATGGCTCTCCTACGGCTGATGGTGACCCGATTTGACCCTCATACGCATCTACATACTTTATTCTACGGGCCTGTGTTCGGTTAACGTCAGAGGAAGGTGAGGGTGGGCGTTTGATATCGTAACTCCGTTTTGACGCTACTTAACAAAAAAGTGCAAATAATGTAAAAAATTTGGTATATACGTCTACTCTATGTCCCCAACGCCCGAGTCACAAAGTCGTTACCTGCTTGAGCACTCGTCAGTCTGAGTTGCAGCTCCTCCACCTGCTTCAAACGCTCCTCCTTCTTCGCCTCCAGGCTCTTCTCCTTCTCCGTGAGATCCGCCAACAGTTGTTGCTGCGCCGCGTTTAACACTTCTCCATTCAGCACCTTCTCCCTCAACTGTTCCAGAGACTTTCCTCCCTTTCCCTCGAATGCCGTCACCGCAGCCTTCGCATCATCAAGCTCCTTCTCAGCCTTTGCCAACTCTTGTTCGATTTTCGCAACGTTTGCCATTTTTTTCTTTGAAAGAGAAGATGTGCTGCGCGCGATGTGATCTAATACCGTAATATACTAGTGGCTTAATCAATGACGTAATTATTACGAAGATTTCGTCATTGCGATTGATTATCCATTGTAGCAGAATGACCAATGATAATTGATGCGCAGCAACGCGAATTTGTCTATTTAAGCATCATCGCAAGATTTATTATAGAAGCAAGCACTAGTCGCTTACTTTCAGAAAACCAACAACTCGATAAATATCGTTGAAACAATACAACGCTTAAAGTAATAAAACAAATCTGTCGATTTCCACAATAACTACGAAAAATGCTTACAATCACAAGCAAATTCTTTTTTGGAGTATTTATTGGCTTCGCTCTCGGCCTGTTGCTAAATGCCATACTTTGTAATGGTTGGCCTAACAATACTAAATTTGGTAAGGGAAATAGATTAGCACCCGGCCGGAGAGGTAAATTTCCCTCTACCTCCCCAATCTATTGCCAAATTTGGCAAATACATCCTACTAAATATGGTAGGGGAGATAATGATGAGAACACACTCAATGAGAAAGTATACGTTTAGACAATTTTCAGACGCCCAATCAGTTAACAGTCTTGCCAATAAGTGTAGCATACTACAGTAATAAAAGTACAGTCCCCCAAAAAATAATGACGACGGTGCAATTTACACAAAGTTTTTACATATTAATATTAATATAAGCTAAACTTTTGGCAGTGATTAATGTTGTTCATGATAACAAATTCGACTTGTAATAAGAGGTGATAAATTTCACAAAAAATTTTCAACATGTTTTTGGCATTTAGCATTGTATAATAAAAATATTGATTCAATAGCTCTAAATTGTAAAAAAAAAAGGTTGCAAATAAGGTAGCATTTGTTATTGTAAATAGTTTTACTTAGTACTGGAAAATTAATTTCTTAGTAAAAAAGACGTCTGACATATGTCCTACAGTTTTTTTATCAAGTTATAGCTTGTTCACTTGCTTAATTTTTAAAATTTAAAATTTTATTCTAAAACATTATTGAAACATAAGCAATTAATATTATGCATCAACTTTTTTAGAACGTAACTGTGTGCTTTTAAGCAGTTTAAACCCAAAATTTTGCGACCGTTTACTCTGCAAGATTTACTGTAAAAATATTTTTAAATTATACGCTTAATTAATACAGTACATTAATACGGTGCATTATCAAGTTGTATTTTCATAATTACTGCTTACTGAGTCTTTGTTTCAAGCAAGTCTTCCAGAAATTCCAATTATAAAGTTCATTTTTTGGTTTATTTACCATTAACTCTAATAATTTAATATCTGATAATGTAATATTGCTTCATTGATAAAACGTATCAGTAAACAGTTCATTCAGCGCTTTCTTGGATTATTTACCCGAACGCGATTAATATCGCGGCTATAAAAACATATCAGGGTGACTGAAAAGGAGAAAGCAAATTGTCACCAGATAGAGTCTGTAATGATTTTGTAGCCATCCGTATACGTCGCATACCAGACGTTAGCACGATAATTACCCGTGACTAAATAAAACACTCCCACCCTTTCAAAATGATTGACATGGTCTGCCATCTTTTTGAACTTCCAGTCAGCTCGGAGAATTAAGTAATGTCAATGGTCGCATCCGCTCAATACTGAGAAGCAAAAAGTTGTCAAAGTTCTTAGCTGGCTGCAGCTTGCCTTAACATCTGCGTCACGGTATGATGCGCACAATTACCCCCAGCTGATAGCGTAATACGTGCTTTCTCAAGAAATTGGTGGCATCACTTGAAAAACATTGTTCAAAGGCAGAGAAATAAATATTAGATAGAAAAGCATATCAGAAATGATGCTGAATCTGTGGCGCTTAATTACATTTCACGCTGAAAATGCTGATAACTGGGGCATTAATACTGAATAGACTATATGCTGTCATGTGATTTGAACGATTGTAAAAAGTTGAATTGTTGATCGTACACTTCGTTCGGAATTAAAGGTAGAACATGTCCCTTAGAGTATTTCCGACTCTATTTCGTCCACTCAAACTTAGTCGCCCTATTTCCATATCACAAATTACAAACAAATGGCATATCAAAACCGTAACTAATTACGCTAACCGTATTAATTACAATACTAATACAACCCATCGCATTTCCAACCAAAATAATCTACTCAAGAATATGGTTTCTTTGCTAAATACAAACAATTCATCGATAAGGACATATTCTTCTTCCAGCCCTACACCTCAACCAGCTGATAGCGCGGAGGGAACGTTAAGAAGGTGGAGCTGGCTTTGGTGGAAAGAGTGGACAATTATATTTGCTGTATTCGCAGTGACTGGCTCGACTACTGTACGAGTAGTGAGGCCCATTGTAACTCATGTATTTGGTATTGAGGGTAAGTAATAGAACATGCGATATAAAGTAGTAGATTTTAAGTGATTTGCTTTGATTTTTACTAATTGCTGTGTTGATTCATGATCTGTTATCGGGGGGTTATTATTATAATGCAGGTTCATTCACAGATGGCCCGTGGTCTTATCGACTTACTTATCTTACCATAACCTTACCGCTTTACTCGGTTATTCTATTTGGGCTTGGTACGCTTGTAGGCCGACAAGCGTATTTTGGAAAGATCGTGACCAGAATGTGGGGACGATTTATTCCCAAGCGGTTACTTAATCGACGGCAGCCGATCCGAGACCAGTCAAATGGAAATAACCAAGTGTAAAAAGTAATTGTTAGCTTTGACGTGCTCGAACGTCTAAACAGAAAAAGGGCATCTTGGTTTATGGAATGAGCGAATGATTCACTTGACGGCACCACCATTATCTTCACTCGCGCTTCCTCATCCAATGACCAGCCAAAGTTTAGGATTTCTAATAGAACATACGAAAAGTCGATCCCTTTTCCCCGAAACCCCAAAGTCAGCTGTTGTAGCTCAACGAAAACTGTCAATCAAACAGTATAAATTCGTTGGTTAAGTGAATCTTACTTGCCTGTCGAGGTACGTGAATCTTCTGTACATAATCACGACTTGGTAAGCGACAGTATCAACAATGTAAGACTGTTCATAACTATTGACTGCTAATTGCGTAGCCTCCCACTATATTGAATTTACAATAGCGATCGAATGATTTTACTCAAATTCAGCGATAATAAAAATTTACTCAAAGAGATAAACTGCAAGAACACAGGCACGATAATGTCTAATAGTTGGCATGTCAGAATGAAGTTTATTCGTGTGCAATATACGACTAACATCTAACGTTTATACACCAATAAAAATTCTTGACCGAAAGTGATAGTCTCGATGATGAAAAAGCTTTTTATTACACAAATAATTACAAATTAATGCAAGATGTCTCGACAGTTTTTCTCCTTTTGTTTCAGTCTTTTCCTTCATGAATCCGTTCACGCATATCTACTTAATTGCCCTGTCGTCTCTTGAACTCCGTATCGCCTCGTCCTCCACCAGCTCCCCATTCTCCACCACGCCCCCCCGAAAATTCATCTTCGGCGTCAAAATCACGCCGACGTCGTTTAGATCCAGATGGACCATATGATGGTGGTGCACCGTCAACGCCACCCCGACCACGCGATGACTGTTGGTTGTTCTGCATAGAGAAAAGAACGATATTAATTCGCAATAAGAATGGGTAGTTTCTATCTACTACATCTACAGTTGGACCAACGTTTGATCGAATTTCCATGTCCATCTCAAACCCTCTCAAACCCTATCCACAGCTTTTCATCCTTACCCTCATCTGCTTTCCAAAGAATTCGCCCCGATTTCCTCGTTGTCCACCTGCGCCTCTTCCACCTTCGCCTCGTTCATATACTCGTCCTTCACCATATCTCCCGCCCACTCCAGTTACATTCCCTTCATATCTTCCTTCTCTCACTGGCGGGCTAACTCGATGTGTTGTTTGCATTCCGTGTGATGATGACATATGTGATGGCGGTGCAAGAGCATGCGATGCAATATTGTGGGATGGAGTAACAAGTTGGGATGTAGGAAGTGGAAGTGCGGGTTGTCCGGGAAGAGCAGTCGAGGGAGGGAGTGGGATTGATGAGTTGTGAATTACGTCTATTAGATCTATCGGATTTAGTGTTGGACCTATATAAGGGAACGTGAAGAAGGCAGGGGTTAAATATGCAAAATATTTACGGTAAAAAGTAGTGTCAATAACACGCTTTTTGCCACCCATTTTCATTTGTTACCTCTTTCGGTAATGAACGTACCATTAAACACACTAGCTGGTGGCAAAATGTTTAAAAAATTGACTATAGCTTCTGGTAACAACATTCCATTCGTTGCCCGCTTTAGCACGACTGGCGTCAACTGCTGTATTTGCTGTGCTGGCGCTGCTCCCGTTGTTCCTGGAATGCCTTGCACATTGGGTGGCAAGCCCATTCCCTGAGACATAACGTTTGAGGGCGGTGCTCCGCTGGCCGGCAAACCAGAAATCGACATGTTCGATACCGAGACTCCACCGGCGCCCACACCACCACCCGGAGGTTGCGGCCCTAGACTCTGTCCAGCAACACCAGGCGGGACATTACTAGTCTGTGGTTGTGGAAAGTATGGCCTTCTCAGTTGTTCTGCTGTCGGCTTGTAGGCCACCCACTGTCGAAAATCAGGCCGTGGATATTTCTCCGGGTTAACGGAATCGAGCAACGCACGTCGAGAGGTGCCTTCATCTTCCATATGTGTTGAAGGAGGTGTAGTCGGCGGAGAAGAAAGAAGCGGCGGTTGGAAACGTTTTTTGACATTTAGAGAAGATGAAGCTACAAAGATGAATGAGGTAAAAGATTTACAATGTCAGCAAGAAAATAACTCTTCACTGGCAGAGCTTGACACACAATAAAAAATATACATACGTTTTCCTCCAACTTCTTGTTTCATTATTATATTTACGTCTAAGTAACTATACCGCGATGCAAATCGCTCGATATCAGTTTCTGAGAGGTTAAAACAATGTTACATCGTGTTTGTCCATTTCGTAACCTTCTATCCTTCTATCCTCCATCCTATTTCCTACGACTTACCATCTGGATACTTCTCAGCTCTTCGTTGGTCAAGCCTTCTCATCGAAGCTAAATCACTATAGTTAGTTACATAATCTCCGAATTTATCCCATATTATCTTTGATTTTTCAATGGGTAGGGCGAGTAATGAGCGTTCAAACAGCGCGTGGGTATCTTTGTCGCAAATAGGAATAAGAGTGAAAGGGGAGATTATGTTATTATGTTGGAGTCATTCTAAAAAGATGTAGAAAACAATAAAGCTTACTGTTGTCATCATTGAGTTGAACCAAAAAGTCCAAATACTGTGCGACGTATTCAGGATTATCTCCGAAAGACCTTAAGCCGAGTTCAAATACCTTAACTGCCACGCTTTGATCTTTGCTACAATGGTATTCCATGAGAGCTGACCCAAAGTAATACAGTCAGAAGACAAGCATATAGCAAACATATACGCTGACATTACACAGTAAATGCAACAAACTCGTTAGAGCTTACCGGATGCGACAAATACTTGGTACGGACAATAACGGGTCTTTCGTGCTTTCGAGAATACTTGCCGAGCGCCTTTTATGCCCTGTGAAGATCATAAATGATGATAGCTTAGGTAATTAGATTATAATGTCAATTACAGTTGAAAAGAATGTTATAACTCCAACCCATTAGATAGTAAATATGGTTTCAAAACGATGTTTCAAACAATCCCTCGCCATACAATCTATCACCATCCGATGCAATCATACCTCACTTCTACGTGCGAACCTCATGTACATGATGCAAACCAAACCAACACCCTTTGCCACAGCGTCGATCTCTTTTTTCTTAGTTTCTTCAATCTTTGCCCGTTCCTTATCTCTTTCTTTTTCTTTTGTTCTCAATTGTTCTCTCATCTCACCATCCAACTCCATTCCTGAGAATTCTTCCTTTGCTGCTTCACCGGCTTTGTTCACATTAGCAATAGCTTCTTCAGCAGATTCTTCTATTCTCTCTATTTCCGAATTTAGATGCGAAATAAGGGATTCAAATGCAGAGCGAGCTTCAGCACTTTTTTGGCGTTGTTCTTGAAGTTCAGTGTAGTAAAAATGCAACAGGAAACTTGTTGGCATGATTTCCATCCCATTCTTCAACATAGTAACCGCCTCATCTTCCTTCCCTATTTCAACCCAATAACTAGCCGCATCGTACCATATTTCTGGATAGTATCTCATATACAACATAGCCTGTCTATATACAAAAGTAATTCTCTGTGCCAGGGCGGATTTATCTTCTAATGCCAAAGGATTCGATTTCTCCCAGGCAATCCAACGCTTCCAATGATCAAGTTGTTGAAGTTCGACTTTGGTCCATTTGGGTGGAACGGGAAGGATTGATTTGTTAATAGAATCAGTTATTTCGCGAAGTTCGCGAAGCGCTGTACGGGCCGTCATATAAGATGCCGAGCGTTCGTGAAGAAATTTTTTGGCCTATGCGAGTAGTGAAGAATTGTTTGTTTATCAAGAGCGTCAGAGTTACAATATTTTGATCATATACAATGTTGTTGAAATTTCACATACCGTAATTTTATTAAGGCCATTTTCAAACTGATCATAATCTTTCCAAATATGCTCAACATTATTTATTGGTATACAAATAGCTTTCTGATAGGTCCGTCTCATAAGATCCATCTTCTGGGATTCTTCCCAAGTGCTATTTGCTTCTCCAGTTTTCAGAAAGAACAAGTAATCGCTCCATATATTTCCGGAATCTTTATCCAGCCCAACGTGGTTCAAGACAAATTCGTAAGTTTTTGTCAAAACTTCACGAGCTTCAGGTGTTAGTGAGGATGATTTGTCGCCAGTAGTTTTCCGACGAACATAGTTTAGGTAATATTTCCATAGCTCAACAGATGGGGTGGGACGAAGACAACGCCGAAATATGTCTTCTGCTCGGTCAAGACAGTTGTTTTTTAATTCGAATTCGACGAATTGGATCCAGTGACGAGCCTATAGGTTATTTAAAATAAGACATTTTGCGGAGTGAGATTGAAGTGGAAGGTTGTTTTTTGTTTGTTTGTTTTGGTTTTTTTTGATTGTCGGCAGTGTTGGTGATGCCAATTAGATCAGTGAGAGTTTTGTTGAGTAGTTTGGTAATTCATCCAAGTAAACGGATTGCATATGTGTGGGATTGTGAGTAGAACACTATTAGATTAGTAAATAAATCGTTTTGACTATGTCCACATCACCCATTGTTAAGCTTCTAATAGTGCGAGTTATCAATGACTGGGAACAAACATCGTCAACACATTACTACGAACAAGATGAACACGAAGACAAGTATTACTGCAATTAGAACGAAAAGGGCATTGGGAAGAGTCCCACTAATAGTGTTGCCAAGGAGTATTACGAAGGCATTCGATGAATAGAACTAAGGATGCAATAATTTGGTTGTTATAAGCACACAACCAAAAGAGGTCAGGATAAATTAAGGTGGACATAGTTCATTGTATTTCCAAGGAAAATAAAAAAAAAGCATGCACGCCTTGTCAATGCACCGACACTCTATACACTCTATACATTCTATTAGTAAGACAGCGTGCTATCCTAACACAGGCCCTTTATTAAATTACCATGTATTTTTTTCCAATATATCCTCTCTCCGTTCACAAAAATCTGATCTAATTCTTTTCTTAAATCCAACCCCACACCCTTTCCTCTTTCATTACTCACCGAACTAGGGAACAACTTCAAAAATCTCTCAAACGTCTCCCTCACCCGCTCCACATCCCCCCTCGCCATCACCTCTGAAAGCAACATCAACCAAGCCTCTGTATCATAAGGATTAACTGCGATACGGGATTCAGACTTGTCGAGTTTTTCCGTTCGTTTCTTTGGCTGCAACGCGCTTGGCGGTATTTGCCAAGAAGCTGGTTCCGCGGGAGGGGGGTTGGTATTGCGAGATCGGGGAACATCTGTTGGATTGGACACTGCGGAAGGTGTGGTTGTAGGTACGGAAGAGGGTATAGGGGACGATGCGGATGTGGGAATGGGAGTAGGTGTGGATGTGGGAATAGAAGGGGTCGGAGCAGTAGTGGTTACGTTATTTGCTGTAGATGTAGAAGAAGGTATGGGGGATAAAGTAGAGGTAGAAGTATTGGAAACGGGTATGGGTGTGGTTATAGGTGTGGGTGTGGGTGTGGGTGTCGATGTGGGTGTGGGTGTGGACGTGGACATGGTAATAGATGCGGAAGTGGGTGTAGAAGTTGGAATAGGAACAGATGTAGATATGTGAGTGGAGGCAGTGGAAGGGGGAGTAGTCGTCTGTGCGCTGTTCGATGGCGTCGCTGTATCAGAAGTACTGGGATTGAACTGTTCCATATTTTTTTCTTTCTAATAGGATAAAATGGAATGGGATAGTAGCAGATAAAATGCGAGCAATAAAGATTTCGGGGGTTCAATCTGTAAAATTTCGGGGATCCAAACTTCCTGTGCCACAAGCTTGATTTCGCGTAAACAGGAATAACGATTCTAATCAATGTTTGTTAATTGCCCAGACAGTTACAGCGAAGATTTACCATACAGGATAATAAAAAATCAACGAGGACACAGTGACGGATTTTTTCTCTGAAACAGATTTTTACTAAATAATATCTGGTACAAACTCTACAAACTCACAAGTCGACATTACGAATTCGTCAATATTACGGAGCAGAAACGCTGGCCCCGAACAGCCCGTTATATCGATTTTCACGCTGTGTACTATATTAGTGGGCACTATATAAGTAGAATCCCAAATTTTGATACGAATTTGATATTGAGAGCTATTACCTTATACTATATAGATCATTACGATACATACTCTACTTAAGGTATATTCAATGAACCTCTCTCCATTCCCAAATTGGTAATGGTGTGCCACAATTACAATGTCAAAATCACGTTGATCTTTCTTAGATCTAGGATGTCTGGATAAAAAAGTTGTGGAAATTGCCAAAATTTCCCTTAATTAATTATGAACACGCAAAGACTTGTTCCGCTCTCCTTAAGTTCACTGAGCAGAGGGAGCATAACACATGGTAAGGGAGAAGAAGGGCGATTTGCATTTGTATGGAAAGCTGGTTGTTGATTTGTAACTGGAAAGTACTTAATTAATGCCACATTAAAAGTCTCTTTGCATTTCTTCCATTCCAGCCCATATACGCCCACGCAGTGCTCGCACTCCATTCTTCACACACATACCTTCCTTTGCCCGAACCTCTTTCCCAAGCCTTACACACCTTCGCACCTATGCTACGTCTCAGCCCTCTCGTCGTGAATCTGCACTCGATAAAGCCGGAACAACCTTTTTGTTGACAGAATTGGTCCGAGGAGCATGGTTAGTGATGGAAAATTTCTTCAGACCGCCGTACACAATCTATTACCCTTTTGAGAAAGGGCCATTGAGTCCGAGATTTAGAGGAGAGCATGCTTTGAGGAGATATCCTACTGGTGAGTTTGGATAGGCTTAGGGGCAAGAGACAGTTAGAAGGAAAAAGAAATCCAAGGTATTAGACAAGGCGGAAGTTAGGCATTAGGTGTGAATATGCAAATCATGCCACCTAGTGTCAATCATCGTGTATATTACATGCGTATAATTCTTATTTCATTCTCTCATATGTCGCAGGCGAGGAGCGATGCATCGCATGTAAATTATGTGAAGCTATTTGTCCTGCTTTGGCGATTACCATCGAGGCAGAGACAAGAGATGACGGAAGTAGGAGGACTACAAGATATGATATCGATATGACCAAGTGCATGTATGTAGAAAATTATTAAGGAAAGGGTGCAAGCATATGTAGTTTCTATTGATAACTGATTGTTAATTTTATACTTTTACATAATATGTTTTCAGATACTGTGGATTCTGTCAGGTAAATATATCGTCAACGATTTTTCAATCAACCAAATTTTACTCATTCCATTTTCGCAAAATCATCTCCTTGCCACTATAGGAAGCGTGCCCTGTCGATGCTATAGTAGAAGGCCCGAACTTTGAATATTCAACCGAAACTCGTGAAGAGTTACTCTACAATAAAGAAAAGCTCCTTGCTAACGGAGACAAGTGGGAGCCAGAAATTGCTAAAAATTTAGAGGCAAACAGGTATTATGTATGACAGAAGAAGTAATGGTGAAGAGTATATAGAGTGCTGATGGTGACGGAAGTAGCAGGAGTGGAAATAAAGCACGTGTAGATTATTTTGTTAAACATATGACGCCACCAAAGTCCCTCATTTCCTTAGTTTCATAGCTCTGATTCTCGAGTAATCATCGGCTCATTTGCTAAAGATGGAAGAATAGTGAGATGAATATCCTGTTAAGGAAGAGATTTTGGACACAGCTTTATTTTACTCATATAAAATAGTTGGAAGCGTGATGTAAGAAATTTGATTGAGCAATTCGTTTGGAGAGCCCATTAAATTTAATGGAAAATACTCGCTGGGCAAATATTATTAGTATGTTTGGGCGGGTAGTTGATATACTACACTTGAGAATTAGCTCCTATATCTATTACAACAACAACACTAAGTATCATAGAAGGACTTTCGCGATGAAAACCGAGACTACAAAATTGTTTCAACAACCAAATAGTAAAAGAAACTATTGTTGCCTTTTGTCAGGCTTACCAATTTTAAAGTTGCGTGTTTTATTGATTGAATTAATTACTATATATTCTGTCTTTCTTTTTTCTTTTCTTTTTGTTTTTATTTGCTGCAATCATAATAATTATAATGATCTATATTTGATCAGGACTATTGCCTGTATTAGTATTAAATGACTAACTATTAATATTAGTGTGAGTCGCGTTGAAAACATTTGCGTTCAAATCAAAACTTAGCTCGAAAACGTGTGACTAATTCACGAGGGGGCCCATTTAATGCATAACTCCTATAAGGCATAAATGTATACCACAACGGAAAACAAGAATATAATTGGTTATTAGAACAGAACACAATTGACGATAATTTTTAATCAAAAGTTCATTACTTAGAAAGGGGTTAAATTCAACGTGTCTTGCTTCTGGCTTAATTTCAAAGTTAACCAATGTGTTTAAAATTTTTGTAGAAATTATTTTTCAATGGCATGGTTGTAGAGAAGGCCATAGTGAACGCCAAGTCTATGGAGCGGAGGTAGAGGAGACGTCCTAAAAGTAGGTTGATAATATCAGAGCTATATAGTCGCGCTCCCCAAGTGGACTTGTTAAATAACGGCGTTGAAGAATAAATAACATTCAAACCAACATCATAACTCACAAGAAAGAAACTATTTCAGATGCCAATATAGCATCTTCAAATTCAAATGTTGCAAGTTTAGTTTTCCACTTCTGTAAGTCCTCTGTAAAATTCGTATAATTATTTGCAGATTATATATTGCAGTATAAACTCCCTTACCAAATACATAATAATACCAAAAAAATACACATCTGATTTCTGAGTAAATTTGCACGTATCGAAGACTTCCGGGTAAAACGCCTCGAATTGTTGAATTTGACTCGTGTGAATTCACTGATCGTGAGAGACCAAGATCGCATATCAATGATTCTGCATATTGCATATTGTCATGCACAACTATGTTTCCGCCATGAAGATCACAATGCACTAATCCCGCATCATGAATATAACGCAGATATAATGCAATATACTTCAAATGCTGGAATTTCATCCTCCACGTCAATTTGTTAATATTTTGATCCAAATAAGACAAAAGACTACCATTGTTAGCATATTCCATAACAATCATGTACTCTTTTGTTTCTGGGTCTTGTGCCACTCCATAAACTTTAAGGAATGATGAATAATAATCATTATTTGCACACTTGGCATGATTTCTGAACTTTAAATAAAAACAAATACCGAGTCAAATTAAATATCACTTTCAACTAATAACATCAACAATTGCTTGCCTCGGAAATAAATAATTCCGGTGTTTCATCAAAACTCTTAAACCGTTTGAATACAACAGTTTCTTGCATATTATCTACTTCTGAATACTTTTTGTATTTGGCAGTATAAACTGTTCCATAACCACCAGACCCGATCTCTTTGAGTTTGTAAAAGTCGCTATACTGGATGTACTTTACATGTTCATTATTTCGTATAATTCTGTTCAATATTGGGCGTATTTCATGGTAGAAAACCAAATAATATTCCCGAGTAGATGGCTCCTGAGTGATCCCAATTATCCAAATATTCTCGGGTGTTAATATCTCGGGGTATTCCTTAGTTAGCTATTTGAGTAAACAAATACAGTCGTTCAACACGTATTATTTGCATTTTACACGTGAAATAATTTACCTGATGAAAATCAAATAACTGATCGTTTTGTTCGTCAACTATCTTTTTGAG